TCAAAGGCTACCGTGAGAGTGTGACAGTCATTGGTGTTGTGGGATTTGTTCTGGTGAAAACAATAGTACCTTTACCCCTTTTGGATAGTGTGTGCCTCTTGGGTGCACCCCGGATCCCTGACAACCAGTCCTCATTCCTCCGCATAGTCCAATATGGTACTTATAGGATGCATGAGGGGGTCCTTGATTTGTCAAGGATCTGGGGTGCCCTCCAAGCTCGTTTCGTCATCTAGTTCCCCATTGTACCCGGTGATGTCTTGTCGGGGTGCTTTTGTTGGTGGGTTGGTGGGAGTGTCTCCACGATGGGGGTTGATCCCTCACTTGCCCTTATGTTGACGGCATCATCTACCACGGCGTGGAGGTCTCCCTATTGGAGTGTCTTGATATATGATCTAGGGAGATCTGTGATTAGGCTACTCGTTTAAGGACTTGGGCATAGCACTCCCTGGAGGAGCACTTGTAAAGTCCTGTCGTCTGCACCCTCGACTTCCTTTGTCTCGCGTCGCCAACGTTTCAGGAAGTCGTGTAAAGTTGCATCCTTCTTCTGTTTTACGCTGAGGAGGTTTGAGAAATGTTTCTTGATGCTTCTCTTGCCAGCAAAGTGTGTTAAGAAACACCCCACCAAATCTTGCAATGAGCCCACGCTGCCCTCTCGTAGAGCGTCGAACCACTCGTATGCCGGTCCTTCTAGAGTGGAGAGGAATCATCGGCATATGTACTCGTCAGAGGCATTGAGCATGAGCATGCCAATTTGGTAGCAGGTTAAATGCTCATGTGGATCACTTCGTCCATCATACGCCTTGATGGTATGGCAGCAGTACTTGTTCGGGATGGGGACAAAGAAGACCCTGTGAGTGAAAGGGGTCTTTGTTCTGAAAGGAACGATAGGCTCATCTCGGCCGTCAACGACTTGCTTCTCCAGGTCCGTAATCTTGCGCATCAAGGCGGCGTAGCCTGGGCCGTCTGGGTTGTCCATTGAGGTGTTACCCCCGGCATGCTGATGTTTTTCCTCTACATATGCGAGGCTTTATTGCAGCTGCTGGATCACCTCATGTCTGGGGTCCTTGCTCATTACGTTGGCATCCGGCTACTGGGTCTGAACCGAGGCAGCATAGACTTGGTTGATTTTATGCCTAACATCCTCCTCTTGGAGCCCCCTTGCCCTTGTCAAGGCATTGTCGCTCTGCTGTCCAGGAGACAGACCCCAGCTCTCTCAGGGGGATCATGGTTTCGTGAAGCCACCTCACCCACCAATCCTCTCAGAGATTGGCCTTCGTCGTGTATTCCCTAGTTTTTTGAAGGTTGAGGTGTGGCCATGCTGAGTGTTGGCTGGCTCCTTCCGAGTAACTGTCTCAAAGGAAGACGTCTCATGAGCGACAACATTCTTATTGTTTCCGAGTTGCAGGTAGTTTTTGGATACTACCAGCGAAGAGGACGGGGGAGGCGGTGTTGGTGTAGCATTTTCTCCAATCTTGGGTGATAGGAGCACGCTTAAAGCTGTTAGGTTTTGAGCGACGCTCCTTAGGATGACGGCGAGGGACGTGTGGATGTCCACCTCAGAGATGACTTGGACGAGCTGTAGTGCAGCATTAGTTTCGTTGCTTTTGTGATTGCCATCGAGAAAAATTCGAGCATCAAGCCGGTTGGTGTTGATATGGTCGCGGAGGTCTGCATCATGGTCAATGGCCTCCTGGAACTCGGCCTCCTCGACATTATGTGAGGTTGTAGCGTCCCTAGCTTTCTCATGCTAGAGTGCCTTGGCCACAAAGACAGCCTTTGATCTAGTCTTTCCCATTCTGAAGTGTCAGCAACGTCCAGTAGCGATGAGGGGTACTAACTTGATTATTCTCTCTCTCAACCAGAGCACCAAATAATATCTTCCCGGTAAAACCGCTAATGGTATTGCTAGAGAGAAGGGAGAGCTAAAATATATAGAGAGAAAGTACTTGTAATAAATGAGTTGTGAACCCTCTACAACTATCCCCAAGGGGGTATTTATAGAGGGAATATGGGTTGGACTCCCAGGTTTTGGACACGGGAGGCCCAATTACAGTAATGGGCCGCTAATGGGCTATTTACATGCACTTTATTCCGCTAGGACATAATAAAGTTATTCGCTGAAGTTTCTGGCCGAGGTACAAGGGTGCACCTCGGGTGTTTTGGTTGTAGTCCCTGTATGATCTTCTGGTGGCCTGTGGCCGAGGTTCTTCCCTCCGAAGTGCCGGTATAGATAGAAAGTCCATCTCTTCATTCTGGGCCTGACTTATTTGTTGGCCCCCTGACACCGGTGTGGATTTGGACCGTCTGTATATCCAAGAGTATGTGGACCGTGGGCTCGGGGTCTGAGCCCATATACTCTATCAATTCAATGTGATTCATAATAAATTGATAAAATGAGAATAAAGTAAGAATGAACTAAAAACACACAAATATGATCAAATATGGACCTTCTGGGGTAAAAAATGATCAAATATGGTATGAGATGAATTTAGTGGGATGGATGGAAAAAGAAAAATCTAACAATTAAATGAGCGGAAGGAGTAACTTTTACTGGGAGTATTTTACTCCCTTCGTATTAAAATAAATGTCCCAATAGGCTTTTTGCGTAATTTAAGATAATTTATAGGTTTACTGTATGCTCTTTGCGTAATTTAAGATAATTTATAGGTTTACCAATAGAATTCTTCGGAATGTTCTAAAAAATTCTACACTTCTCTAGAGTGAGAAAGATAGAGAGTTAGAGAGCCTCTTTGAGAGAGAAGAGTTAGCTTGGGAAGTTTCTATTCTCAAGCTTGGAGTCACCATAGAGTGAGACTATTTTGTAAACACGTTCTTGTAAATCATACTTCGTACTATTCTTTTGTACATTGAAAGAATATCTGAATTGGAGAATTATACTTGTCTGCTGTCATTTTCTACCTTAATTCTTAAGTGTCTATATTAACTTTAAGGAGCGGGAAAGTTCGAATTTTCCCAACACATCTCAAATTTCAGAAATTTAAACAGTGATGAACAAAACTAACATCATCATCTATCCGTTCCACTGATTATTAACTACTAGTAAAATGATTTTTCTTTTTAGTTTTATTAAGAGAAAATCACTTGTTTAGTCGATTATAACATTGAGTAAATTTCTGCCAAGTTTGGCATTACTAAGCTTTAAACATGACATTTTTTTCCCAAACTTGGCAGATTACTCCTATTCAGAGAATAAAAAACATAATACTCCTATTTTGGAATTTTATAACGTTTTTGCTCCTATTTAAAGCAATTTCTATGGTTTAAATGTATATTGTAATGTATTGAGTATGTCTTATTTTTGAGCTAATTATCTAAACATGTTCTCAGTCTATATTTTTCAAATAAAAGAGGATATCTTTTTATAACACGCAGTTGCATTCCATTGAAATTTATCTATTTTTAATCTAAAATTTATTCTCTGTGCTCTCATTTCTACGTTAATTTCCACTCATGTGCTCTGATTTTTACCTTAATATATTTTTAGCTATTCTCCAAATTAATGTAACTTATAATACTATTTTAATAAGCAGTGAATTATAATATTTTTTCTTATTTAATTTCTTCATGAAAATATCTTATATATCCTGATTAACTTCATATCTGCGACTCACATGAACATCCAAAATTTTGAAAAATGCAAGTATATATGTGTAAATTACAGACATCGTGTACGTATTCATTAATTACTCCATCCATCCCAAATTATTTTGCAAAGTCAACATTTTTTGTTGGATAACGTACTCATTAATAATATAGAACTTACATCTTTGTTTACATTGTTTACCTTAATGAAAATATATTAAGGCAAAAATGTAAACATTTCAAAATATACAGAACATACTCATTAATCATACAAAAAATGTAAACATTTCAAAATATATAGAATGTGACAAGTAGGTAGGGTGTGAGAAGTAAAGTTAATGGAGAGAACAAATGTAATCCCGTTTGACAATATTGAAATTGATCGAATATGTTGGTTCTGCTGAAATTTATGAAGTTTTGGTTAAAATGACTAGATTGACTTATTCTATTTATTTATGAAAAATATATTTAAAATATATTATACTAATAAAATAAATAAAAAATTACATTAAAAAATATTTAAAATTAACTTCTATAGTAACTTCAGCCAATTCAGTCAGAAAAGTAACTCCAACGTTGTTTAATTTGATTATTACACAATTCACCGCGCGAAACCAAATAGTTACGTGTTTGGTGAAAAAATTGGCTGATAAAATTAACAAGCCAAAACACGGGATCATCAAACGGGTTCAAAATTATTAGAATAATCAGTAGTAAACTACTGAACTAGTGCCACATCAAACAAGAAGGTTTTCCATTGGATATAATAAAATAAAGGATTCATAAAGTACATCTTCCTCTCCAAGTTTGACCAATTTATGAGATGAATATTTACATCATTAAAATTTAGAAACAAATCGGCTAAGATCTATCATGTAATGTATAGTACACTAAGATCTTTCATAAATGATCATTTAACATAACATGTAATAATGCACAAGTAACAAGAAGTCAAGAATTAAGGATGTTTTTAGGATGTTTTTACTTCGACCGTAATTCGTTCCAGACCAGACCAGACCAGACCAGTTCAGACCAGACCAGACCAGTTCAGACCAGACCAGACCAGACCATATCAGACCAGACCAGACCAGCAAATTACAGTCCAAGTAAAAACATCATGTACACAGCTCTATCATGAGGTATATACAGTACGTATATATGTGTGACTGTGAATTCATAGATTATATTTTAACAAATTAAGATTCAGTTATGTGAGATTGGGTTACAAGATACGCTACTATGATTCAATATTTATTACTAATATTCCGTAAATAATATTGATACAAATTTTGATGCTAATTACATGCGGAGTAGATTAAATCATTTTATGATCAACAAATAATCGGAAAATAAAAATCACAGTTATACCAGAATTAAATCATACGGAGTAATAATAATAATAACCTAATAATAACATAGATACACTTCACCACCAAATTAAAATCATTCGTAAGATAATAATTTGTCTATACATAAAAGAAATTAAATGAATGAAATAATGAACTGATCATGTAAGCAATAATACAGTAATTGTCATTATGAACATGTTTAGACTTTGGTCCCATAAACCCTAAAGTCATATCCATTCCTCTAACCAAAATTGATGGATCACTCCAAAGGCCGAGCAGAGTACGGCGTAGAATTAACATTGAGAAATAATATGGCCCTACCGCAGCAACTCTTGTATCAGTGAATCCAGATCTTCTTCTCTGTGGGTCTTCCCCTGCTGACTTGAGGAGGAAGGCAAAGCAGAGGATGGCGGTGAGGAATATTCTGGAAAAACGGGACCGTCGCCCTGCTGCGGCTGCAACTCCTGGATCATTGATCCAATGTCTTCTCCGCTAATTAGCCAATCATCTTCCCAACTACCAATCGCAGGAGTATTGAGGGTCTCCTCAATTGGCGAGTTGCAACAGGGTGCAGAAATAATATGGCCGCCGGCAAGAGCAGAGGAAGGCCAGGAATATTGCGGAAAAACAGGACACCCGCCGTGCAGCTGCCTCTGCTGCACCTCTCGGATCACCGACTCAATAATTTCGTCAGGCAACGGCCCGCCGCTGTTCCAAGCGGTATTCTCGCCCGGATCACAGGACAACGGCGATGGAAACAGAGCAGAAAGAGGAGCGCTGCCCTGCTGCGACTCTTCACTCACCAGCCTGGTTCTCTTTTCGCTCTCGCCTGCCGCCTCGAGAACCGCTGCTGGGTCGCCATGCACATATGGGTTCCCGGCGGGAGAGAAGACGACGGCAGCAAATTTTACTCCGGGGAATAGGTCGCAGAGTTTAGAAAGTTTCTTGAACAGCCCCGTTCTCCTCTTGGAGAAGCAAACCATTCGAGCTTTATCTGACTCGATCAGTTTTATTGGGATCCTGGACTTTCCCTTCCCCATTCTCTGATTTCTGGCTGATTTTCTTTTCCTTTCTCTCAGTTTTCTGGTTTATTGCGAATTCGCAGCCGTGTAGGCGTGTAATAAGTAATAACATACTCCGTAGTATAAAAGAGTACATATATATACGTAACCTAGTAGAGAGTAATAATCCTAGTTACCGAATTAAGGAGTATTGTTAATTAATAACCCTTGAAATTTTAACACACGGAGTATTGTAAATAAAAAAAAAAAATGTACATAATAATATTGCTCAAAAATGTACTCTCTCCCGTTTCAAAAGATCTTGACACTTTGACTTCACAGTTTTTAAGGAAATAAATTTGACTTTACTGTAGAGTGTACTGTTTGACACTTTTTGACACTGTTTGGCACTGTTTGGTGTAGATTTATTTTCCAAATAAGGCAAATAAGGAAGTGTAAAGATCTTTCTGGTACTGCTAAAAATGGAAAGTGTAAAGATCTTTCAGAACCGGAGGGAGTACATAGTAATATTGCTCAATATTTTGGGTATCAAAATATAAGCATTCATAGCCTGTTCCGTGACCTTATTTTTTGGCTTTTTAAACTTATCAGTCAACGTTTCCATCTGACACGTAATTTTCGACTTCTCGTGCTGAATTGTGTAATAATAAAAAAAAGTAAGGTTGACGTTACCTTCTTTTTGTGAGTTGTGTCAATCAGAGTTGTGATGTTTCTTATGGGCCTTGGTGATGAAAAGGCACTGGCTTTAGGCCCTGAAGGTCCATTAAAGGAGGAGTTTTGGGACAACATGAGGCGATATGCAATTTATGTTTTGACAGTGAGTACATGTGCTTTGTACATCCTTTTCCAGCCTGTATATGAACTGCTGAAGAGCCTTGTCTCTGCTATTCTCCTGAATTCGGGTTTTTGATGTTACTTTTGCCATTCAACTTAATTATAACTCATGTTGAGACATGTATATGTTTGTTAGTTTTTTTTTGTATCAATAATTTTTAGAAGCAGACCCGGAAGATTATCAGAATAAGCAGAACTTGCTATAAAGTATAAAGCCTACAAAAAAATCATGGATAAATTGTTGTAGGTAAGAAAGGACAAACGCGCTACACCTACGGCTAAGAGATCAACTCATATGCAGAATGCAGATATGCTTGTAATAAAGGGCTTGTATTGACATTAGAAAACATAGTACCTTAAGCCGGAGTAAAATATTAAAAAAGTTCCAAAATAGGAGTAAAATAGGAGTTCAATATTTTATAGGACTTAAACAAATCACCATGGATAAATTTTTGTTGGGTGTGTCTCGAAAAAACGTAGAAATAATAATTAATAAAAATTAATAAATAAATAAAATAGCTAAAGAAAACAAAAATGAGAGGAGCAGAAATTAGTCAAAGCATGTGCTACGCACAATGTCTTTAAAACGTATTCGTTGCCTCACACGGTGTTAGGAGCGTTGCAAGAATCGTTTCCCAGGATACGATGACTATGAACTGTTGTTTGAGCACACAAACAAAAGTTCCAACAAACGGAAACAAGTATGAACACAGAAGGAAATTTTCAGAATGCTAGCAGTGTTTTCAAGAGCTTAAAGTGTGTGAGTTCGTTTGTGAATACTGAATGTTGCAAAGCACCTGCCAACTTTTTATAGGAGGATTTGTTATGTGTTAACTGAGTTTTAATGAACTTGAACGTTGCACATAAATGTTCGGCATGTTGGACATTAATATGTCGACAACTGTCCATTTAAAGTGCACATTAATGGAGAAGAACATTGGACATTAAGTCCTGTAACGGACCAGAAGACCAAGACATCAAGGTCTTCTATTGCGCAATAGAACATCAAGGTCTTCTGTTGCGTTTCTGAAAAACTGGAACCGTTACAGGAAGAAGCAAACATTAAATCGTATTTTTGAATGATAGATTTTTGGACGACATTCGTGTCCACAGGTCACCCGCGCACGCAAGTCGCGGTTTTTCTTCTCCGTATTCGGAATTTGATCCGCACCCCCCCTGCGCGCAAGAGAGAGCCTTTAGCTTTAGGAATCTTAACTCCTTATAAGAGTCTTCCCTTTATAAGGGGGTGAAAATCCTTTGAGTTTTCCGGTGTGGTATAAAACACACTAGAAACCCATCATTTCCCAGTTTTTCCATTTCAACGAGTGAATTTCGAGAATCAATTTCTCATTCACCCGTTATCCGTTTTGAGCGTACCATATATCTAATTGTAGCCCTTAACAAGGACAATCTGAAACCCGTTTGACCCGACCCAAATTGGAAGTGGACCCCACTCAAAATATTACCCCAAATTAACCATTTAATGCAATTTTAACACATTTTCCCAACAATTTTAAAGCATTTTTATATTTTTATAGAAGATACTGCCGTCCTCCAGTGTCTCAGTCGCCATAGCTGCTGTTATACTCCGGCATCTCAGATGACCTACTCCATTGTTCTCCTTATCTGTTGAGTTCCTCCGACAATAACCTCCTCCTCCATGAATCTCCACCTCCAATGAGGCCACCGCCATTGTGTCGTAGTGTCTTCTTGCGCCACCACCACCGCCTCCTCTGGTAGGATTGCTACTGACCTCAGGCATGAAGAAAATTTTACAATAAGTGTCATCTTACCAGTGGAAAGTCATCATAATGACATCAATGTTATATATATTGCCATCCTTGTAATATGAAAGGGGAGGCGAAGGGGGCGGAGGGGTCACGATGCAGCCGCCGAAGTATAAAATCGGCTCTTCATCGGATTCACGGTGCAAGAGAGAGGGGGTAAAAGAGAGAGAGGGGGGATGACAGATGAGAAGCGAGGTTGGTGGGTCAGAGAGAAGAGCCTAGGTGTGAGTGATTAATTAAAAGAAGGATAAATAGGTAACATGTAGGCTTATTTAAAGAATATTAAGAATGAACTCCTATTTAAGAACTTTATCATGTTTTAGCCATATTTAGAGCAATTACTTTTAAAATAATAGAAATTGTTCAATCTAGGAGCAAAACATAGAAAAAGTTTAAAAATAGCTAAGAATGTTTTTATTAGAACTAGTTTCAGCCCCATACTAGACCAGACTAAGCCAACAAGACCAAATCAAGTCAAACTTCAACAGTCATAAAATACACATAGAACACACACCTAGCAGATCAGATCAATCCGAAGTTAAGCAGAACAACCCAGATCAGACTAAACCAAAGTTACAGTACAATTAAAAACATTTTAAGCATGTTTTATTTCTCAAATGAGACTTACTTAGTCCTATTTATGAACTTCTAAAATAGGAGTGAATGAGTCCAATAATAAAAGTCTTATTTATGAATCCTTATTTTAATCCTACTTAAGAAACTCACTCTTACAACAATGTATATAAGAGCATATATGGAGATACAAACATATTTATTTTCTAATTTCCGGTTTCCCACTAAAGTGTACTAAGTGGGAAATGTATCTAGTACTCCTAATATAAAAGAGTCCTAGTTCATATATTTGGTACTCATAATATAAAAGAATTTGCGACTGTTATATTTTAGTAGTTGTAAAGATTTTTAATAGTGAAAATATATCTCTCAAATAGGTTCTCATCCTTTGAGAAAGAGACAGTTGAGTCCGTGTACTCTCCGTGAAATCAATCAACTCTGTAGGATTAAATTGATATTGCATGTATGTGTAATTAATGATAGATAATCAATCAACTCCACCAGGCTCTCATACTTTTCTTTATTGATATTGAAATTTTGTGAACATGTTTTTGATGAAGTGTAAATTATGTCCAACAAATATCAGTTTACAATTCAATCGGAAAGTCAATTAAATAAATTATTGAAAAACACTGCGCCAAAATATATATAAAAAACATAGTGTTTTTCAATAATTTATTTAACTGACTTTGTATTGAATTTGAAGCTGAAATTTATGCACATAATTAATCTGCACTTCATGAAAAACATGCTCACAAAATTCACCCAAAAATTCCACTCGGAAGAATCTCAAATAGACAAATTTGGAAGGTACCTCCCATCAAAAATACCCAAGGTGATATTTTCCTATATATATATACACACACATACATACACACATACATATACACGTTCCGCTTCTGGTGAGAACATCACTTAATGTTAGAAATGAGAATGCTTCAAACTGATTCACATTATGGTTCACAGAGGTGCACATTTATAGTTAATATAACACAAAGTTCAAATGTGCAAATTTCTGACTAATCTAGTGCGCAATTCAAATACACATTTTCTAAATTATGGCAATGCACATTTGTGTTTCATATAATGCACGATACCCAAATCGAACGCTCCAAAATTATTTTCATTTCTCTCATTAGATCATGTTCTTATTTGAACCAAATTATATATGTCACCACCTTCGTGACGACCACCCCTGTAACCTACGCCACTGCTTCCTTCATGATGCCCACTTCTATATCTTCCACATCCGCGGGATTGAACCATGTTCAAGGAGTTGTTTTTCAATCAATACTGAGTAATATATAACATTCGAGACGATAGAAGGAATTTCATTAGTAGTAGAAAATAAGACATTCTTACTAAGGTTAAGTTTATAAAGTTAATTAGTTTGTTTAAAATGATTTTTTTGGAAGTAAAATGAATTTAAATATGAGGTCGTATTCAGTAAAAAAAAAACAGGCTGCGTTTAGAATCAGTAATACCGTTGTAGACTTCTAGTCCAATACAAAATAACCTAGCCCACCTTTGCTGGTCCAAGACTATGCTAAACGTCCAGCGGTTTCAACCCAAATATGAATATTTATCCTCAAGTCTGCACACTTCATCCAAACAATCCTCTAATCCACCGGAGTAATTTCGGCCTCAAAAAGGTTGAGTCGTAATCACAAACCAACCATGCTCTAAACTTGATGAAGGTAGCCTCCATAGCTCTGGCCTGTATCATAATCAGAGATTCTGAGAGAGATAGAGAGAGAAATGGCACACTACCATTGCACTGCACCAGCTTTTTTCTATCAAGAATTCCAGCAATTCTGCAACTCTCTCCATTGTAGTCACTTTCTGCAACTCCCTGTCCAACAGAAGCCCTCTCCTCTTTCCCTCAGGATCCGCAGAACCACGTCCTTCCAGATTTCCCAAGTCTCCATTCAAAACAGTGGTCAGGCATCGAAGGGTCCCTCGAAAAGCCACGTCTGGATCAATCCAGACAGTCCCAGGGCTTCTAAGCTAAAAGAGGCTTCTTATGATTTCAAGTCCTCTTCACTGATGAGTATTTCGAACTCCTTGGATTCCTGCAAAGCTGTCGAAGAAGATGTGATGGCTGTACTTGATGCCTTGAGTGGCAAAGCAGTACAACAACATGAAGCTGTAGATATTCTTAACAATATGTCAAACCCTGATACTGCGCTTCTGGCATTGAATTGTTTCCTGAGAAGGCTTAAACTGACAAATCAGCTCATTTTGTACAATGTAACTCTGAAGGTGCTAAAGAAAAGCGATGCAGAAAGTCCAAGAAATCATAAAATAGTATCCGAGGATTCCCAGAAACTTTCAAGAAACGAGTTTTGTGTATCTGAACCGATGAGGTCAAATGAGAATAGGTCCAAAGTTTTGGTTTGGGGAGCTGTGTCAATCGGAGTTGTGATGTTTCTTATGGGCCTTGGTGATGAAAAGGCACTGGCTTTAGGCCCTGAAGGTCCATTAATGGAGGAGTTTTGGGACAACATGAGGCGATATGCAATTTATGTTCTGACAGTGAGTACAGGTGCTTTGTACATCGTTTTCCAGCCTGTATTTGAACTGCTGAAGAGCCCCGTCTCCGCTATTCTCATAGTGGCTATCATTGGAGGCAGCATTTACATCGTCTCTCAGGTGCTTTCTGCCATGGTTGGCATCTCCGACTTCAACATCCGTTATAGCTACTAGGTAGATCTATCTATATCAAAATACTGTATGTGTTTCCTATTTGGAAATGTCGCTTGGTTTTAGACTTTTTTGTACACGAGCAATGATTACCATCTTGGTTTATGTAATTTGAAAGGGGTTATATCTGAAAAAATGAAATATAATGTCTGTCATCGAGTATATTACCCAATGAGCCTGCTCTAAAAGTCCAACTACAGACGCTCCTGAATTCGGGTTTTTGATGCTACTCTTGCCATTCAACTTAATTATAACTCATGTTGAGACATGAATGTGTTTGTTAGTTATATAATAGGAATGTATGAATGTTTTAGTTAATTATGTAAATTCCCAAAAACGAATAGGACAACCATAGGACATCCACAATCCGTCAATCCCCATAGGACATCCTTATGTGTTTCTTTGTATCAATAACTTTTAGAAGCAGGCTTGGATGGTTATCAGAATAAGCAGAAAGGACAAACGTGCTACATCTAAGGCAAAGAGATCGGATCATATGCAGAACGCAGATATGCTTGTAATAAAGGGATTGGATTGACAATAGAAAACAATAGAGAGCAGGGATAAAGAAGAGAGACTGGATGACAGAGATGAGAAGAGAGGTTGGTGGGTAAGGGAGAAGAGCCTAGGTGTGAGTGATTAATTAATAGAAGGGTAAATAGGTAACATGTAGGCTTATTTAGAGAATATTAAGAATGAACTCCTATTTAAGAACCTTATCATGTTTTAGCCATATTTAGAGCAATTACTTTTAAAATAATAGAAATTGTTCAATATAGGAGCAAAACATAGAAACAGTTCAAAAATAGTTAAGAATGTTTTTAATTGAACCAGTTTCAGCCCCAGACTAGACCAGACTAAGCGAACCAGACCAAATCAGGTCAACTTTCAACAATCGTAAAATACATATAGAACATACATCTACTAAACCATATCAGACCAAAATTAAACAGAACAGATCAGATCAGACTAAACCAAAGTTACAGTCCAATTAAAAACATTTTAAGTATGTTTTATTTCTCAAGTAAGACTTTTTTTAGTCCTATTTATGAACTTCTAAAATATGAGTGAATGAGTCCAATAATAAAAGTCCTATTTATGAATTTTATCCTTATTTTAATCCTAATTAAGAAACTCACTCTTGAAACAATGTTTATAAGAGCATATATGGAGATACAAACATATTTAGTTTCTAATTCCCAGTTTCCCACTTCAGTGTACTAAGGATATATTCGGTACTCGTAATATAAAAGAGTTTGTGACTATTACATTTTAGTAGTTGTAAAGAATTTTACTTATGAAAATATATCTCTCAAATAGGTTCTCATACTTTTGAGAAAGAGACAATTGAGTCCGTATACTCTTCGTGAAATCAATCAACTCCACCAAGTTTTAATTACCCACTGATATGAATACCTATGTGTATGCCATTAAGTACACACTTATATATGATCATATATTGATATTGCATTTATGTGTAATTAATGACAAATAATCAATCAACTCAACCAGGCTCTCATACTTTTGTTTATTGATATTGAAATTTTGTGAACATGTTTTTAATGAAGTGTAAATTATGTCCAAAAAATATCAGTTTAAAATTCAATCGGAAAGTCAATTAAATAAATTATTGAAAAACATTGTGCCAAAATATATATAAAAAATACAGTGTTTGTCAATAATTTATTTAACTGACTTGTTGATTCAATTTGAAGCTGAAATTTATGCACATAATCTACACTTTATGAAAAACATGCTCACAAAATTCACCCAAAAAATCCACTCGGAAGAATCTTAAATAGACAAATTTGGAAGGTACCTCCCATAAAAAATATCTAAGGTGATATTTTCCTACACACACACACATTTTCCGCTTCTGGCGAGAACATCACTTAATGTGAGAAATGAGGATGCTTCAAAACCATTCATATTATGGTTCACAGATGTGCACATTTATAGTTAAAATAATGCAAAGTTCAAATGTGCACAGTTGTGACTAATCTAGTGCGCAATTCAAATACACATTTTCTAATTTATGGCAATGCACATTTTTGTTTCACATAATGCACGATACCCAAATCCAACGCTCCAAAATCATTTTCATTTCTTTCATGAGATCATGTTATTATTTGAACCAAACTATACATGCCACCACCTTCGCGGCGACCACCCTTGTAACCTCCGCCACCGCTTCCTTCATGATGCCCACTTGTATATCCTCCACCTTCGCGGGATTGAACCATGTTCAAGGAGTTGTTTTCGATCAACATTGAGTAATAGATAACATTTCGGGCGATAGAAGGAATTGCTTTAGTAGTAGAAAAATAAAACATTCTTACTGTTACAGGGGGGGCAGGTGGTTGGTGGATGGGGATGGACGCCCACTGGCGCAGAATGGTGGAGGAGCTCCTAACAGGTGGGAGGATGAACCAATACGCACCTCACAAAATCCACATGAATTCCATATGGTTGGTAACGAAGGGGGTGGTTCTGGTTTGTTGGAGGAAAACTCAAGTCTGGTTGTTTGGCAGATCGGTGTTGACTCAGCCAGAGAGGTAGGTCAGAAGAAAAGAAAGATTGATGAAGATAGAAACTTACATGAAGTTTCTTATTTACAGAATGTAGAAGATGTTCAACCAAAAAACGTATTGGAGACGGGTCTTGGCAACTAGGCCCGCCTAGGATTATGATTTGCATTAGCTGGAACTGTCGGGAGCTTGGTAACCCCTTGGCAGTTCAAGTATTGGTGGATATGATCCACTCTAAGCGGTCACATTTGGTGTTCTTGATGGAGACTTTTTCTAATAGCTTGCAAGTGGAGGCAGTTCGGAGGAAGACTGGAATGCATTCTTGCTTTGGAGTAGATAGTGTTGGGTATCCGGGCGGATTAGCCCTGCTATGGAGGGATGATATGCAAGTCAACGTCTAGGACTCCTCTCCAAACTTTATTGACGCATGGGTAAGCTTGGAAGAGGATGATCCCACATGGCGGTTAACGTTATAGAACGGTTTTTCTTTCGGGCAAGCTTCCGGATGACATTAACCATACTCACATTGTTTTGATACCGAAGAAGGATTGCCCGGAGAACTTAGGGGACTGGAGACCTATAGCCTTGTGCAATGTAGTGTACAAAATCTTTGCAAAAGTATTAGCCAATAGAATGAAATATTTGTTACATTTATGTGTATCTGAACAACAAAGCGCTTTCATTCCAGGCAGGTCTATTATAGACAACATCATGATTGCCTTTGAGTCCCAACACTATTTGAAAAGGAAAAGTGGGATATGTAGCTCTGAAGCTTGATATGAGCAAAGCCTACGATCGAGTGGAATGACCTTTTGTGGAAGGGATGTTACGATGATTGGGGTTTGCAGAGAGATGGGTTCAGATTTTAATGGAGTGCGTACGCTCGGTCAACTATGCTATCCCGTTTGATAATCAGGAAATCGGGCCTATTTTTCCTATAAGAGGATTGAGACAGGGAGATCCCCTTTCACCCTATCTCTTCATTATAGTTGCTGAGGGGCTGAGTGCAGTCCTGCGTCGATAGGAGCTGGCAGGTCGGGTCCATGGGGTCTCTGGTTCTAGAGGTACCTCGAAGGTCTCTCATTTGTTATTTGTTGACGACAATCTTCTTTTTTTGCAGGCTAACCACGATGAGGCATCAGTCGTTAAGTAGACGCTTCATGATTATGAATTGGCTTCAGGTCAAATTATTAATTTCAGTAAATCTAAATTGTTTTTTAGTGCTAATGTCCCAGCTGGCTACAGAGAGGGTTTGATTGATATGTTGGGGGTTAGCTCAGCAGGGTTGGAGGAGCGTTATCTGGGTTTATCGGCTTTAGTTGGGAAAGGCAAAAAGGAAATTTTGAGTTACTTAAAGCGAAGGGTGATTAATCGCTTACAAAAGTGGAATAATAAATTTCTTTCAAGGGCAGGGAGGGAGATTTTATTAAAAACTATCATTCAGGCCATGTTGACTTATGCAATGAACATGTTTCTTTACCCAAAGGATATGTGTCGAAAATTAGAGGTCCTGATGAATGATTATTGGTGGAATGGTAAAAATGGGAAAGGGGTTAGATGGAAGTCTTGGGAGTGGTTATGTCGACCTAAGAAGTTTGGTGGGATGGGATTTCAAAAACTTCAGGATTTTAATATCTCAATGTTAGCTAAACAGGCTTGGAGACTTTTCTCAAACCCAGATACATTGGTCCGTAGAATTTTGAAGGCTTGTTATTATCCTAATGGGAATTTTTTAACAGCAAAACTGGGAAATAATCTCTCTTTTATTTGGAGAAATCTTTTTGAAGCTCAAGGTGTGGTCAAAGAAGGTTACATGTGGCGGGTAGGGGATGGAAAATCTATCATTGTTTGGGAAGATCCTTGGCTGCCCGATGATGAGAATCCAAGAGTTTCTTCTGATACTATTTCTGGCCTGGAGAGGATCACGATGGACAAATTAATCTCTGGATAGGAACACTTTTGGGATGATGATATACTATCGAATTTGTTCAATGATAGAGATATTAGTCTCATTAACGGAGGAGGTTCAGACAAGAAGATTTGGAAGTGGGAAACAGGAGGTGAGTTCACTGTTCGAAGTTGCTATAGGCGGTTAACGGAGGAGGTTCAGCCGGCTGATTGGGTAGGTTGGACAGTGATGTGGAATTGGAGGATTTCGCCTAAAATAAAAGTTTTTTCCTGGCAGCTTTGTTGCGGGTGCCTGCCAACTACGAAGGAGTTGCGACATCGGAGAGTGGAGTGTCCGGAAGTCTGTGGGTTATGCGGCGAGGGTGAGGAATCGCTGATGCGCCTTTTTGTTCGGTGTCCTGTGGCTGTTGATACTTGGAATTCGATAGGCTGGGCATCAATAGGATTATCGGAAAGCACGTTTATGGGATGAATGAAATCAATCTTTCAAATCAAGCAAGAACCTGAACTTCGATCCATTGCTTGGGGCTGCTGGGGGCTGTGGGGAGAAAGAAATGCAAGGGTCTGGCAAAGGAGGGAGCTAGGTGCAACTTCTGTTATGTTGACAACAAGGAACTATGTGGATGTTTGGCTCCAGGTTCAACAAAGAGGCATAATGTAGGGCGCAGGGGGGAAGCCTCAGTCCCAGATAATCTTCTGGCTTCGGGGTGGTTCAAGCTCAACGTGGATGCAACAAGAGATGATGCTAGCAGCGGCTTGAGTTCGGTTGTTCGGAATGATTCGGGTGATTTTGTAGCAGGGGGTGATGGAGTATATGGGTCTAGACCCCATG